GGTCGACTGGATCATAGAACAAACAGTGAGAAGCGAGAAGAGGGGAATACGCTGGCTGGACCGGGAAAAAATCCCAGAAGATTTGGATTTCACCGATGACTTGTGTCTAATGTCACACAAACTCGAAGGTCTACAGGCGAGAACTAATAAGTTGACAGAAGAGGTGAGACAGTGAAGACCGGACTTCAAGTGAATATAGAGAAGACAGAGGTGACAGATGAAGATATCTAACCAACGCCACCACCAACAATAACAAACACCAATCACCATGAACGGGAGAAACTTAAAGGAGGTAGCCTCTTCACCTAGCATCGATTCAACTACAGGTGGCGGCGGTACAGACGAGGACATCGAAGCCAGGACCAGAAAGACAGCAGGATAGGCGTTCATTAACCTGAAACCAGTGTGGAGATCTGCACTCAGCATAAAGCGTGAAGAACATCCGGATTTTCAACACCAACGTCAAGTCAGTGCTTCTGTATGGTTCAGGGACTTGGCGCTTTACAAAAAATATTTCCAATAAACTACAGATATTCATCAACAACTGCTTACGCTAGCTACTGAAGATCAGATGTCCAGAATAATAAGAATAGGGAACAAGGAGCTCTGGGAACGAACTAACCAAGAACCTATCACTCAACAAATATGCAGGAGGAAGTGGAGATAGATTCGGCATACACTGAGAAGACCGACTGGGGACATCACACGTCAGGCCAGGCACTCGAGTGAAACCCAGATGGGAAGCGACGAGTTGGGGTCCAAGGTGAGGGTGACATGGAGGAGATCGTTTGAGGAGGAAATGAGAGCTTGTGGGCTATCGTGGGACCAGGTTCAAAAGATCTCAGTGAACAGAGTTCACTGGAGACGTGCTACTGAAGCCCTATTTTTAATTAGGAACCCAAGGGACTAATAATAATAATAATAATCATACTGAAGTTAGTGCTGATGATATCGTCTACAAATTCGATGAAAGACCCTTGTTTAAACAATTCAGCTCAGAGAACACAATACAACCGTAACCATTCACCTGAGCTACAAATATTCTCCATTACTTGATTATTTTAGTTTTTAGGGTGACCTATAAAGTCACTTCTGATATACATCAGTTTTGTACATGATATATCAACAGAAGAGTAACTTTTTCACATATAAATCATTTTTGAATAGTACATGTAAAGTGAATATTTTGAAATAAAAATAAAATTGAATTTTGAGGGAGTTGTGGAGATTTGGAAATATTTCAAGTTGTTATTCATCGTAGACTGACATCAGTTGCAGGAACAAAGGAAACCTTAGGAGCACTGGACAGCTGTTTCGTCACACAAGTGTGGGACTCCTCAGCAGTGCACACCCACGACCCCACACCAGCAGGGATCGAACCCGCGACCTTCAGGTTTTGCGGCCGGCGCGTTACCATTGACCGGTGGAGTCAAAGCCTGATGGTCGTGAGGACAGATACTCAACGATGACATTGGGTGGCGGTGGTGGGTGGCACTATATCGTGAGCTAACAGAAGTTGGAAATATGGAGCATTGGATTCTGACCCAGTGGCTCAATGGTAACGCGCCGGCGGCAAAACCTGAAGGTCGCGGGTTCGATCCCTGCTGGTGTGGGGTCATGGGTGCGCACTGCTGAGGAGTCCCATACTAGTGTGACGAAACAGCTGTCCAGTGCTCCCAGGTTTCCTTTGTTCCTCCAACTGATGTCAGTCTTCGATGAATAACAACTTGAGATATCATTTTTATTCGAAATAAAATAAGGGGATATTTACAGAAGGAATGAAATATGTTATGAAAAAATATTCAAAGTATTATGAAAAGAAATAGTTAAGGATAAAGTACTCCTTCAAATGAATTACAGTGAGTAGAGCATGTCAGATTCTGACGAAATATACCCATTTATTCAGTAACAAGAACAAGGCATGTATCAGTGAAGAAGAAGCACTTGTTATCAACGACTTCATTATCAAGCTGTACAGTCATATTTATACTCAATAAAATGACAGATAATTACACTAAAACGTTCCTTGGTCAATATGTAAAGTATACCAAAGTTGTAGGTGATGGTATTTGTTCAAGTGAAAGAAATAGAAAATGGGTCACTCACTGATTAAGGAATGAATTAATAACAAGTGATGAGATAAGAGACACCGACTATCAAAGAATTGTAAAACGGTGATAATTTAGCTAAAATATGTGAAATAGGTCAATGAATAAGGAATGAATTGATATTGAATAGTGAAATATGAGTCAAATATTGTCAATGAAGTGGAAATTGATGATAATAAAAGAGAAGTATACCAAAGTGAAATGGAATTGACAAAATCCAAAAAATAATGAACTGTTGAGGCCAAGGTAGAGAAAGTGGTTTCACAAAACGTTTTTGAATGTAAAGTTTTGGTTTCTGTTCATGTGTATAGGTAATGCTTGAATGATGCTTAAGTGGTGGAAACTTACACCTTTGTGGTAGTTCAATTTAACATTTATCGATTACTTTAAAGGATGAATTTCGAGGTGCTGAATGACCTGACTTTACTAGGTGTTCATATATGGATGAAGTAGTTTTCCTTTGGTTGTCTTTGGTAAGCCAAACCGGGAAATGTACAGCAACACGTTTTCGGATGGCTTGTTTACAAAGTCCAATATTGTCTGCTCCACAGGAGCATATGAACTTGTAGATACAAATCGATGTGGACATCACTGGAAGCCTATCCTTCACACATTGACAAATCAGACGGCGACTAGAAAATATCAGTCTCGGTCCAGCAGCATAGAAGCTAATATTGATACACCTTGACAAACTATTTTTCAGCACTTCGACTATGATGTCTCCTTTGAATTCTAGATTCATGGTTAAGATTTTCTTAGGGACTGTAATGGGATGGGTAGTGGTTTGTTTCTTCAGATTCTTATCAATAAATATTTCAGGGTATCCGTTATTAAATAGTATTATTCTAAGAGTTTCGATTTCAGCATCCATCACATCTTCTGAACACATTCCATAGATTCTGGAACACAGTGAGTGAATGGGATTTCTCTTACAAGCAAGAGGTACCCAACCATAAAAGTTAGTGAACTGACCGGTACAGTTGGTTTTCGATAGACTGAACTTTGAATCGAGCCATCATCTCTTCTCCTTAACGTCACGTCTAGAAGGTGGGACGATGAGTTTAACTCTTCTCCTACAGTGAATTTAATGGACGGGTGATAATCACTGAAACGTCTTAACAGCTCGTCCACTGAACATGTTTCGTCGCAAATAAGAAAAGTGTCATCCACGTACCTTTTACACAAACAAAGTTCCGAAACTATGTCAGATTCAACTATTCAGTGATTGAGCTTCAGTTATAAATATGAATTAATCGCATTTCATAACCAGAGAATGGTACAGGTACGCTCTTCGATTACGCACAATATGGTACACTTAGTCTGCTGATTATGTACTGAAATGTTATATTCCAAGACACTGAATGTGATTGACATCACCCACAAACCATCATTACGTTGGCTCCAAATTCTTGATTGTGTTAAGTTCTCTGAGCTGAGTGATTTAATTGTTAGGCTTTCATTGTCTTTCTGGACAACTTCCTCAGCATTAAACTTCAGTGAAAGCTTCACGATTAAATCACCTAACTCAGAGAATGTAGCACAACAAAGAACTACTAATGGTCTTCATTATTTCACTTTCCAAATTAAACTACATTGTGAATTCTCTTAATTAGCTATTAACAGATTGCAATACATTTCTCTCCCATTTTAATTGTGACACTCACAGTGTTATATAACACAAACAGCCTTTAGAAAAAGGTGTGCATTGATCCCATATTAAATTCCATTTCAGTCTATTCATTAGAAATGTCACACAATGAAACAGTATCATTTACTGGATAACGTTTCGGATATAATTTACTGTCCATATTCAAATCAGGTAGATCCACAACTTTGGGATAGAGTTTATATAGTTCTAATTTTCTCTCCTTCCTTCTGACAAGACAAGGGTAGTAGAATTTTCCCGCATATCTGAGACAAGTGCAGAATTATTTCCATTACTATATGTATGTATTTGGTGTTGATTCGATAAACGAAGATTCAGCTATTTAATAGATACTTCTTTTTCTACGTTACACCTATCACAAGAATTTATTTCGATGGAAACAACTCACCTTTATTGGCTATTGCTTCAACACTTCAACGATATCAATTCATTCTTCAATGTTAACCAATCACCATGAACTGGAGAAATCTAAAGCAAGCTGTCTCTTTCACTCACCTGCCTACCTACCTACCTAGGCAGCATCGTCTTAGCTACAGGTGGCACAGATGAAGATGTCAAATCAAGGATCAGAAAGACAGCAAGACGGGCCTTCGTTAATCTGAAATCAGTTTGGAGATCTACTCCACTCCACTCAGTATAAAGCGTGAACAAGATCCGGATTTTCAACAGCAATGTCAGTCAAGTAAGTCAGTGCTTCTATGTGATGGTTGAGCGACTTGGCGCGTTACAAAGTATTTCCAACAAACTGCAGGCACGTCACGAACAGCTGCTGCCTACGCTCAATACTGAGGATCAGATGGCCAGAATAATCAGAAAAGGCAACAAGGAACTCTGGCTGGCAACGAAACAAACGGACCAAGAACCCATCACCCAACATATATGCAGCAGCAGAAAGTGGAGACGGATTTGATAGGACACAGACTGAGAAGACAGTTTGGGGACACCACGTTCCAGATCAGGCCGTTGAGTGGTAGCCGAATGCTAAACGACGAGTGGGGAGTCTGAACTGAGGGTGACATGGAGGAGATGGTGTGAAGAAGAAATGAAAGCTTGTGGGCAGTGGTGGAACCAGGTTGAAAAGACTGTGTAGAAGAGAGTAGAATGATGACATGCTACTGAAGACCTATGTTTGGCCAGGAACTCAGTGGACATATAATAACAGTTATAATCAATAAATGATAATTTCCCTCTTTTTTTTCTCCATTTTTTTTACTACCAACCTTCAGAAGCTTTATTCGAAGGAAACAACTCATGAGAAGAAGAAACAACTCAAAGTATTTATACTGTTCCAACTATTCAAAACCACGACCAATTAATCATAGCTATATCAAAACAGATAAAACTTATCACTGGTCACCACCGAAGCCCAGTCATAATAATTCATTTCCAGCTTGGTTTGAATGTCCACCTCTAAAAAATAACAATAATAATAATAATTATACAACATCTTCCTCTTCATCATTGAATCATTCAAACAACACAATAAAATGTCTTCAACATCGTATTCCCTATGGTGGTAATCATTCAACAACTTCATTTTTTACTCAACGTCAATGTAGTTCATCAAATGATATTATTAACAGTAATTATATAAAATATAATTGTCAGCATCAAAAGTGTATGATAGGATCAGGAAATTATTTAGCTGCTGGTTATTCAGAATATTATAGACGAATGAATAATTATAGATCAGTCAAGAATAGATCAGTAAACACAAATTTAATGTATTCAAACTCTCAAAAGATGAAAAAGTGAGTGTATACTACTTATAATCTTCACTTTCTTAGTGATTTATTGAAACTTTTATAATTTAATGTTGAATGATGAAATTTTTCGGAATTTAGATATTACACTTTATCTCTAGTCACATAATAAGATCAGACTGATCATATAATAGGGACCGATATGGCAAATACTTGAATACAGGTTAACGTATAAGTAAACAATCATTATCGTCTTCTAACGATGGAGAATATTATACATATTGGTAACTGTTATTGTGCTTAGAAAGGTTAAGGATACAGCTAAGCTTTCTAAACCGTTTAGTAAAGTAATAAGTCGGTAACCCTGGGAGCTTTTTGGTCGACTGGATCATGCAACAAACAATAGGGAACGAGAAGAGGGGGATACGCTGGCTGGACTGCGGAAAAGAACCTAGAAGATCTGGATTTCCCCGATGACTTGTGCCTGATGTCACACAAACTTGAAGATCTACAGGCGAAAACTAACAAGTTGGTAGAAGAGGCAGAGCAGCGAAGACGGGACTTCAAGTGAATACAGAGAAGACAGAGGTGACAGATGAAGATATCTAACCAACGCCACCACCAACAATAACAAACTCCAGTCACCATTGACGGGAGAAACTTAAAGGAAGTAGCCTCCTTCACCCATCTAGGCAGCACTGTTTCAACTACAGGTAGTGGCGGCACAGACGAGGATGTCAAAGTCAGAATCGGAAAAGCAAGACAGGCGTTCATTAGCCTGAAACCAGTGTGGAGATCTGCTGCACTCAGCATGTGGAACAAGATACGGATTTTCAACACCAACCCAGTTAAGTCAGTGCTTCCATGTGATGGTTGAGAGACTTGGCGCGTTACGAAAGGCATTTCCAATCAACTACAGATATTCATCAACAACTGCTTACGCTCGCTACTGAAGATCAGATGGCCAGAATAATAAGAACAAGCAACAAGGAGCTCTGGGAACGAACCAACCAAGAACCTGTCATGCAACAAATATGCAGGAGGAAGTGGAGATGGATTGGAGTAGGCATACACTGAGAAGACCGACTAGGGACATCATGCGTCAGGCCAGGCACTCGAGTGAAACCCAGATGGGAAGCGACGAGTTGGGCGTTGGTGGTAAGGGTGACATGGAGGAGATCGTTTGAGGAGAAAATGAGAGTTTCTGGGCTGTCGTGGAGTCAGGTTCTAAAGATCTCAGAGAACAGAGTTCACTGGAGATGTGCTACTGAATCTTAATGTTCCATTAGGAACCCAAGGGACTAATAATAATAAACCCTGGGAGCTTTTGCTTCGAATCCTACCACAGCAATGGTCTCCATTTCACCATCAATCATCATCAGGTATCACTAACGAACTATTTAATTCCAAACCCAGCTTGCAAACAAAGAGATTTCTAATGAAGATATTTTACTTGGATTTTTGCTATTCACTTATTTCAATTACATAGAGTAACTTAAGATAAATGATTACTTTTGAAGATATAAAGGTAGCGTAAGCATCTTAATGACTTTTGCTTCAACAAAGTTCATAATACATCATAAACACATCTCATAGATGGGCATAAATGACGCCTACCCATCCATTTCATGCTCCATTTCAATTATATATTTGGCTATTGAGAAGCTTCGATGTCTGTTTCTAGCATCAATTGAGTTGGGCGATTCGACTTATTCCTCAAGATACTTTAACAGTGGATTATGTCTCCCTTATTTTCAATATTCGGTAAATCCTTCCTATAAATGTATGATTACACGTAAATACAACGGGATGGGGCTTCATCCTTCACCTGTTTCAAGGACTTAGATGGGTATGTAGGCTTCAAATTCTCACTTATCCAAACCCTATCTGTATAATATATATCTTATCAACGGCAGCATTAAATCACTGTGTGACTATGAAGCTACTGGTGTCAACAGTGTATGTCAGCTTTATGAATGCATCTTTCTTACGGACAGAGTGGATAGTATTTCCCAATGTTCTATCCACTTTATGCCGACTTATAAACTTGGTTGGGTACTTGTTGTTAATCAGTGTCTCGGTCAATAATCTCGTCTCCTCTTCCGGCCTACTGGTTCTCTATGTTCGTAGAATTCGATTACATAAGTAGGCAAATAAGCCTCTTTTGTACCGAACTAGAGAGAAACTGCTATAATTTAAGTAATTTCCTTTCCAAGTAGGCTTTCCGTAAGTAGATCATTTTATTGATCCGTCTGGTCACCAACTGATCAGCACATCTAAGATAGGTAAGCAGTTCTCCTCTACATTGATTAAAGATATACTTTTTTGTGCTTCGTGTAGTGGTTTTTATGCTATACCGTCATTGATTAGATCGAATTGATCGACCTCTGTTGGTATAAGGCACCTGTGCGTATGCCTCGATATTACCTGTGTTCTAATTATATTAATAATGGATAGTGGCTAGCAGTGAAATCCAGGATGTGCATTTCATCCTGTTTGGGACTCGTCAGCTGGACGAACCTGCTTACCTATACCCGTCGCACAAGAAGCGGCTATCGTGGCTCGGTGGTGTAATGGATAACGCTGCGGCGTTTGGAGCGATCGTTACCGAGGTCGAACCCTATTGGGAACAACATCACTCACTGCGAAGTAGGTACGTCTAGCTGACGATTCCCAAATAGGACGAAATGCGCATCCTGAATTCCATTGCTAGCCACTATCCATAAAGAGTCCCTTGTACTTCGTTTATCTGATCCATGACTCAACTGGCACATCACTGACCACTTATTTTTAAGATATCATCAAAATATCTTTTATAAGATGGAACTTTATCAGTTAAATCCTCAGATAATTTTTCAACATAAAACGTTTAAATATCTGCCAAAAGAGGGCTTGAGGGGCTTTCCATAAACAGAGACACAGATTAACAACAAGTACCCAACCAAGTTTATAAGTCGGCACAAAGTCGCTTAAGCCTACTCTTTACAACTTTCTCAACACAATTGTCTTGTCGGACAACTTATCAATCATCTGGCTGCAAATATCAGTTAAGTAATACTGATTGTCCTTTTAGCAATTATTGATTTACTGAAGTAAATGCGGACATCTGGATGAAGTAGAATATAAAAAAAGGAGAGTTAATTGACAAAATAACAAATTATTGAGGTTCTATGATCAATCTTCAACTGCTAGAATGTATTACCACTGTGTATTACATTCCTGAGAAGTGAATCCATCAGAGTATTTATTATCAACCTAACTGAAAAAAAGTACAACTTGCTATACCGATGGAAAGTAAATCTGTGTCAACTTTTGACAAATTTCATAATTTGACCTTGAGTGTACAAATGATAGATATTTTTAGTTGTCATATGAAAGAAGTAAGTAAGGTATTAAATTCTTAATATTCTTTAAGAATTTTGAAGTAATAAGTGATGACATTCTTGAAACAAACAGTGTGTTTTTTGAAGCCTTGTTTCATCGTATAAGACTGTCTTCATTTCTATCTTACTGATATGCATTCTAACGATTCAAAATGATTCGAATAGACTCTATTCTTATTTGAGATATTGAACTACTGTTTTGTAATATGATAAGGTATCAACCATCACTGCTTTAATTCTGTTCTTATTATCGGGTAATCAATGACTAAATGAAAAATTATTTTTATTCACCCCATCATCTTTAAAACTTTCAATCTATCATCAATTGAAGCTATAGGTTACTAGACTGGTCACTTGAATTTCGACTGATCAATCACCGGTTTAAACAGCTATTTAGTATCTTTTGCTTTCATACAATAGGTTTGGCTCACTACCTACTGCAAGAATGTGGGTGTTTCTGTTGACAGTATTTTGATTATTGTTAAATCTATATGAAATATGTTCCTGTATTATACAATGTTACTCTATTTTTATTGTTAATAGATCAAGAAAAAAAGAGTTGAACACATCAACTACAGGAAATCATTCAATGTTTTATAATACAAGTGAAATCACAGATTCTGAAACTCCAACTACAGAGTTTACAGGAAGCACAAAATCACATAGAAGTATATCACAAAGTCATGTCTATCGTAAAGGCAGAAGTTTAAGTCCAGCTGAAATAACTAACTCTAGTGAATCAAAGTATTTATTCAATTCAAAGCCAAGATTTTCACTTGCAGAATCAGATGAAATGAGTAGTAAACCAATGGAGATGAGTCAACCATCTGAATTTCATGATGTGGTGAGTGGTATCTCCATTTTTAGAACCATATATATATTCTAAGGCGTCTAAGATTCACCGGAATTGTATACATCTACTTCTTGCTTTTATGTATTAAAAGTATGTTTCAGCAATAATGATGTGAGATCAAGACAATCGTCTGAACTTAAAATCATTTTATTTGCTGAAGTAGTAAAAACTCGCAGTATTTGGCTATGTGGGATGAAACTTTATCATAAATATATGTCTTGATTGTATTGTATTCCCTGAGCTGGATTGTTTAATCGTAGAGCTTTCATCCTTCTTATAGACGACATTAACTGCACTAACTTCAATATAAAGTGAACTGTTAATATCTCTGTATGCGTGATTAAGAAGGTTGTCCAAATGAACTGTTTCGTGATTGGTTGTTTCCTTTGATGGTGTTTCAGAGATTGGAAGTCATCATTTTACCAATGATTCAACAAAAAATTGGATTCTCTATGTAGACGATACTTTTGTCATCTTGTAGAAAAATGATTCAAAAAATGCTCAGTTTGATCAACAACGTCTTCAATAACATCAAATTCAAAATAGAGGAGTCAAACAACCAACTACCATTCCTCCATGTTCTAGTCAGTAGAACAAATGCCGGAAAGCTGGGAACCCAAGAGAAAAAGAAGACAACACATGCTGATCAAATACTCAAGACAGCGAGAACACACTGAAGTACAACAACTTCACGGAGAAACAAAGAAAATCACTTGATGTACATCCCAAAGAAGAACGGCTACCCACCAAACTATCAGAACATGCCTATCCCGTACATCATCAACCACAAAGTCATCCACAGAAATCAATAGACACATCATCCTATCATACATAGAGAATATATCAGAAATCATGACAAGATTACTGAGACCACTTGGTGGGATTGGTGTGGCTCATAAAGCAACAAATGCCCTACAAACACTATTATGCAGACCAAAGCATGCAACAATCAAAGAATACAAACCGAATATCACTTACAAAATCAACTGCAATAACTAACTGTAGTCAACACTACATTGGACAAAGTGGTCACCCTCTTCGCCTTCATTTACACGAACACCAACTAGCTATTGAACATCACACACGACATTTCATCACTCATTTCAATGCACGTGGATAGCTATGAACTTGAATTCAATTTCGATAATGTAGAAATGTTGGACAGAGATAGTAAACACAAAGAATATGTGAGAATTCCTAGAAGCTTGGTATTCAGATCAGTCAGTCAGTAATCAATAGATGTATAGACATAGACCTATTCTATCAACCAATGGGAAGGATGATAAACAACGCAAAAGTGCCAGGTGAAGCAGAGGAGCAGGTAACAAGAAGATCTGTGCCGCCAGTCACACAAGCATCAAAGGAAACGACCAGACACATACCACTTCGTCAAGAGAATCATAAAGTCAGCAAAAAAATAATTGTAATCAAGATGTATTGTTTACTCCCATGAGAATAATTACTTTCGATTTGATTGAAAAATTCTTCATTCCCTGCAATTAACTTTGAGTGGAAAACATTACTGAAGGCTTTGTATTTCAGTGAAATTAGACATTGTTTGTTACGATATTACTAGACACTAGACAAACAAATACTGAAAGAAAAACATTTTGCTCAATATTATTGATAATCAAACTGGATGAAATTTTTATCTTTTTTCAACGAAAAAAGTATAGTTTGTTTTAATCAACCAAGTTGAATTGATAATATTCGCCTTTAAAACTATCCCAGCATAGGATAACTGAGAATAATTAGACATTTACTAACAAGTTTCTGGTGTTGGGAATTATCAGTAAGCAGTACTAGCCAAAGGTGATATTCTTTCCAGTATTCAGGTAAATAACATCTCACGTTGTGATAAGCTGCACTGAATGTTTCCTACTATGACTACAATTAACAGTATAAAGGCGTATTAACTTTATTAGTTCATTGCTTAGTTCTACTTGTACTAGGTTAACGGAAAATTTCAGTCATAGAAGGATTCAAACCACTGACTTTCATATTATCAACTCCGTAGGCTACTAAATGGTTTATGATCATTTTTTTTCTTCTTTTATGAAGTGAATACTTTCAAAAGGTTTAGTTGTTGAGACTCAACGGGTTTCCAAGTTGAATTGCATTGGTAATTACAAAAGTGTTGTTAATGCAACAAACCCAGACATTCAGTTTTGGTTATTGGCGTAACTATTGACTCTAATCTCTGTGTTATTGCTTCAGCAATCAGTTTGGCTTTTGGTGAGGTGATTTAAATTCTTTTAGTTCGTTTTTAGATCTGGCTATTGAATTGTACGTATATCCTGAGACGTAGGTTGTTTAGTTTGATCAAGTTTGTCGTAGAAATTCTTGGGTACTTTTGAAGAATCTGATCGTTTAGTTTAGGAATTTGTGGAGGATTTATTGATTTCGGGTTAGTACTCATCATGGACTGACATTAGTTGAAGAAACATTATGAACCTGGAAGCACTAAACAGCAGTTTCGTCCCAGTATGGGACTCCTCACCAGTGCGCACCTATGACGTCACACCTTGGGATCTAACCCAGTACCATCTAACCTACTTCTCTTCGACAAGATCTAGATTGATCAACTTGAAGAATGCAGTTACTTCAAAAGAACGTCATTTTTTCACCTTTATCCACCTAGAAGTCTTGTATTCTTCCCAGGAACACCGGTTTCTAAATTGACTAAATGTTTACTTCTATCAGCAAACTGTTTTAGTTTATCATGCAATTCTATGGATAAACTAGATGATGATATTTCCGACTGTGACAATACTGGTTGGTTGCTATGGGATATCTGGGTTGTGAAGTTTTATTTGATCATGGAATCTAGATAGTATTGGTCCATTCATTTTCAATCGTCATTGTTCTTTTTTCCTGATTTGACCAGCTTTGTCTAATCGTTTTTTGAATTTAGATGTTCATTTGTTTGATAAGATTCTTGTCTTTCACTTAATAAGCACTGTTTTCACTGACTACTTCTTACCCTTTCTTCGTGTGATCTACTTTTATATATCAGAACGGTTGTCTCCCGTTTGTTTTCTGGTAGCACCATGATTCTTTCCTCTGACAGAAGTGAATTCAATGATTTCTTTTCATTATTGCTCAGTTGGTGCCTTTTTTCCTTGACATCCACTGACAGAATGACTAGTAATTTGGTTGGTTATAGCTAATAGAGGAATCTAGGCAGCTTGTTTTGTCCTGTTTGGCACTCGTCAGTGAGTGATGTCCCAACCGAGACTAGAATCTCACACCCATCGCTTCAACTGCTAAAGCGTTATCCACTATGCCATAGAGAAACGATAGCCACTTTTCGTACTTCGGGTAGTAGTTATTACCATTTATTGACATACTTGTAATTCTCCGTTGTTTTTTATTGGATCGAATTGTTCAACGTCTATCGGCATATGGGCTCCTATGTGGATACCTCAATATCACCTAAATATTATGATAATTTGTTTGGATGTGGTTAGAGGTTGAACAATTCGATCCAGTAAAAAACAACGGAGAATTACAAGTATATCAATATGTAGTAAAAACTACTACTGGTTGTTAAAGAATTGGCTATCATTCCTCCATGGCATAGTGGATAACGTCTTGGTGTTTGAAAGGGTAGGTACAAGGTGTGAGTCTCAGTAGGAACAATATCACTTACTACGGTGCAGGTACATCCAGCTGACGAGTCCCAACAGAACGAAATGCGCTTCCTGGATTCCTATACTAGCCACAACCAACCAAATTACCTTCATTAACATTCGGACAATGTCGAGGCATCCTCATAGGAGCCTATATGTCAACGGAGGTCTAACAACTTGATTCAATAAAACAACGCAGAATTACAAGTATATCGATAAACAGTAAGAATGGCTAGTTTTTGTAGTTCTTTTTGTTCTTCAGATGTTATTTCTGTAGTTTTGAGTTCAGATTCAAAAGCTGGACAAAATTCAACTTATCCACTTTATTCGTGTTGTAGTTTAATTTTTTTCGGAAAGGGTTCTTTCTGAAATGTTTGATTGCTGTTTTTTTTGCTTTTTCCGCTGATTTTGAGAGCTTGAGAAGTTTGTTTCCCAGTTTTTGCTGCTTTCTGTCACCTGAGGCTTTCTTTAGATATCGTCTTTTTTCTTATCTCTCCATTATTCACATGGGCCCTTTATATTTTGTTGCCCCGAACTGAGAGATGGAGACTGGACGGTTAAGCAGTACTGTCAGATTCATGTTGATGTGGGCTTACTTAGTGTCCAGTTAGTATTTCGGTCTTTTTGACACCTATTTATCATAAATTCGACTAATTAGTGTCATACATTGATTAATCACTGGAGATCAACCAATCTCTTGTTGTCTAGTTCAGAGTGCTGACCGAATTATATTCATCATTTTGCAATGTGACAAATAAGCTAAGAGACTCACCACTGCTGTGAACTTTGATAGATGTTAGTTGGTTGTGAGTGATCCACAGGATGTTCCGGATCTAGGTTCCTGCTTTTTGGCACTCCTCAGAAAAGTGTATCTGCAGTCTCAAGAGAACTTCTGACCTTGATGAGATTCGGATCCGCATCATCCACTTCTAATCAGTCTTCCCGAGGTTGCAGATACACCTTTCTGATGACTGCCAACAAGCAAGAAATCCGGGTTCAGAGCTCACTAAGGATACATTTCAACTAGCTAACTTATTATTGTTAACTTATACTGAGTCAGTGATAACAGGCCGTGTGTAAGAGTCTCACGTTCAACCATCAACCCTAGTGTGAAAAAATCTGCACAAATAATCAGTTTACAGTTACCACAATAAGTTTAAACAGCTCCGTTTGCTTTTTTTTATCATTACTATTAGTAGTTGTATTACTTATTAGCACACCAATTACTCAATAGACAAGTGTGATAGGTGGATGTGAAGACTTCAAAATATTTCCATATCCCACATACATTATTTATGGTACTAGACGTATAAGAACCTGATAAAAAGCCTTTCAAGTTGTTATTCATCGAAGACTGACATCAGTTGGAGGAAGACTACTGTCCAGTGTCCAGTGTCCAGACAGCTGTCCAGTGCTCCCAGGTTTCCTTTGTTCCTCCAACTGATGTTAGTCTTCGATGAATAACAACTTGAAATATTTCCAAATCTCCACAACCCCCTCAAAATTTAAAAAGCTTTTCGTCTTGAAATCAATCTGCTTACAAATCTGTTTTTGGTGTTAACTTGACAAGATAAAAAGATTTAAAACCATTGCATGACTTATTGTATAAAATGATAGTGACAGGTCATTTGACGATTAATAATTGCTAGAAAAAGATGTTGGTTTTGATTCTCAATACAAAGTTTCTAATCTGAATTGTTAGTCAGCTTCAATGATAATAAAACTCATGATAATGTCATGTTCAACACATCAGTAATTTACACGAAAGTCGGGCAAAACTCTTAATGATTGGAGTAAAGTAAGATCTAGTTAGCAGTAGGATTTTGTAGCTCAGTTGGTAGAGCACCAAACTGGACACTTGAAGGTCGATGATTTTCCATTTCCCCTTCAATCATAACCCAGGATCAAATCATTGCTATCTCAGTTAGTCAAACTGATGTTCACTGTAGGTTGTATTTGACTATTCAGCGAGAGAAAGGAAACACTGATAATTATGCTAGTGCATTAGTTGGATGGAGGCAGTCATCAGGTAACCCTAGGCCTACGTTTCGTGCTTTTTGGGGCTCATCACCAAGACATATCTTTAACCTCCCGCTTGAGATTCAAAGTCGCGTCGCCCGGTGCTGTAGTCAGAGATGTTACTACTGAGCTACTCAGGCCACGACTGACCTCCTCTATGACTGGATTCGATACATTGATTGGTCATTGGAGAGTAACCAACTTCAGGTTGTCTAGTCCTAAGTGATGATCGAGTTCTATCTATCATTTTGCATTGTGGCCACCAGACTAGGCGGGCTCAACATCGTGATGCACTTCTGACCGATGTTAGTTGGATGAAGACAGTCGACAAGAATCTTTGGATTTAGGTTTGGAATCTCATGCGGGAGATCAACTCAATAGAGGTTGCAGATAAGCCTTGCCGATGAGTGACAGTATTCGGTAAAGGTCGCGCTGAACCATTGTCTTCCAACCCAGTGGTCCTATGGTAGCATGCTGGCCGTGAAACCCCAAGATCTTGGGTTCGATCCACACTGGAGTCATAAGGGCGTATCGTTGAAGAGCCCCACATCATGAAGAAGGGGCTTTTCGCCACCCGCATACCTTCAATGACTCTTCAACTGGTATAAGTTAATAATATGGACCAATTCCAAAGGTTTTCGGTTAACTGCAAGTAGTAGAAAGTAAGTCAGAATTTACTGAAATTGAAAGACTTATAAAGGACTGAGGATAAAATATTCAATACCAAGAGTCTAAGAATGACATTACTACGGTTTCATAAGTCTTCTTGCAAAATGAATCATAGATCTGTAAAAGTTATTCCTTCAGGAAAAAAGCTGATTAGTTTTCTGAAATTTTTGGTATGAGTTGACTATTTCCTCGATCGTAACTAGGGATGAATCAAGTCCTCATTGAACCGCCTCTTATTACTACAATGAAGTTTTATGTAAAGTAACTGGATTCCATTAACTTAAGTAAGCCGTTGAATATTTAACACAACAGTGTATTCAAAATGAATATAATACAGAGGAAATATACCACTATTAAACAACATGAGCAGTTAGAAACCACCCAGGTCGATCTGTAGATTTCACCAGTTAGTCAGATCACAGTGATCTAAACACCGCATGACCGTTGTGGTCTTTTAAGGTTTAAGCGCATCAGTGGTATACCGAACTGATTTGGCTGTATGAACTGAATTTGTCCACGTAAACCGCTAATGAGCTCGGTTTCAAACGACCGAAACGGCTGTCCACCAAGAGATAGATGACAGACTGAAAAACAGAAACAAGTCAAAGTAGAACCTGATGCAAAACCTTACCAATCTAAGTCGCCAAGCTTTATAGCAGCATTCAAGGAACAAGTATACATAAAAAGAGTGTTATTAATGCAGAAAAAAAGTGTATAAAAGGAGAAAGAATTAAAACGATCTTGTTGAAAATGTCTAAGTCTTTTAAGATGTCAAGCAGTCAATACATTTCTGCCACAGTGATCATTTTTCGTTTATGCTACTCACAGTCTGCAGCCATTGGTTTCAATTACTTTACGAATTCCAGCCAAGTACTATAAGCTTCCCACAACCTCATCATTTGACACATCGTCTTTGAGTAGTACTTTGTGCCTAATGGGAAAACTACGTACGTGGTGATTCTGTCACATAATGACATCTATGATAGAAAAGTTATACCCATTTCACATTCTCTAATTTCATCAGCCTTAATCAAAACAGTGAAAACTACGGCATAGCATACTCGTCCTCTGAAAGGTAGTTGGAAATCTCACTGATGATAAAGATGATGTAATTTGGAGACTGCAGAATAGAACATGTGTATAACAGTCACATCAATCGGTGGAAAACTGAATTGAGCTAAAACGATCTGAATTGATAATGAGTAGCATGATACATTTCCAGACTATAGTCGTCAAGACTTGTTTCAGTGTGACAAAATGATGTCTAAAATAAAACAGGTTAAAATGTGCAAAGCCTATTGTCACTCTGAAATAAACTCCTACCTCTTTGTGAAATTAGTGCTGGTGTTACCAAGGTAAATTATGCAGTTTCAATGATCAGATATTAAACTTTTGGGAGTATCAAAGAATTTCTCTTCTCATCCTCAGAGACTGCTTGATGCTAATAGTAGTAGTTACGAGGGGAATCATGAATTTTTCAGCCAAAATCATGTTTTCCCTTGTTCAAAGATGTTCAGTTCTTGTTGGAAGTGAAAAGTAATCCAGTTAGATATCTAGTTTAATGAAAACTCAAGACTTGCGTATATTTCGTTTGTACACTTGTTATAATAGCAGTGAACTTGGTAGATAAACTGTTGGTTAGCTCTGGACATATTAGTAGCCCATTTGTGATCGATTCATGCACCTGATCCAGTCGTAGAAGGAGTCACTTGTGACCTGAACAATTTTATGCCAAAGTCTGTAACTTCAGAAATAATTGGTTCAGATCCATATCATTGTGAGACTAGCAGGCTCCAGATGAACCTTAGTGATGAGTAATAACAATAATAAAACCTAGGTCGAGCAAGACTTCTTATCGACTGACTCTTTTCACCAGATATTAGAACCACTGTAGACTGTTTGGTAGATTTGAGATTTATTATGCAACTAGTGCATGTCCTGATGTTGATTCAACGAATCATATAATGTTTTTTAGTTTGATAAAAACAAAAAAATTATCAAAAATATTTAAGAATAAACTACTGAGTAATTACTGATAAATAAAAATCCTTATTTACTTTCTCATTTATAGGTGATAGACTGCAGTTCACTGGAGAGCGGTGTCAGTTATCCTGTACAAAATTCTTTATCTCTTTTGGATACAAACAAGGATCTACAAAGCCCTCTAGAAAGTCGAACATATCAAAGTCTTATGTCAGTTTATTTAAATGATATCTCACAGGGAAATGGGATAAATACTGATACAATCAATACTGTTACAAACATGAGTAATACTACTACTACTACTACTACTACTACTACTACTACTAATAATAATAATAATAATAATAATAATGATAATAATACTAACAATAATAATATCAGTAACAGTAATCATAGTGTACTTTTGAATATGAACAATAATCACCATAATGAAAAGGATATTCTCATATTGAATAAACCAAATATTCCAAAAATTGCCACAGGTCTATATGATGATGAATTATGTAAAATGAAAAAAGTGAATTCATTTGAAAGTACTCAATCAGCATTATCATTGAACAATAATGATTTTATTGAACAGAATAATTCAATGTTTTATGGTATACAATCATCAATTGTAAATAATAAACCAAAACGTCCAGTTTTATGTTTATTTAGTGCAAATAAACATCGTCAACATCTTCAACAGGAAAAATATTATTTCAAATATCCTAAATTAATTCAAGATGATAATAGTCTATCACAAAATATCAATGTACAGCATTCATTAAAATCAATAAATCTATCTACATCACAATTACCAGTTATCAATTATACTAAAAGAATAATTCGTAGTAGTAATAATAATATTAATATGAATAGTAATAAAGTTGAGAATAATAAAAATTTATTATGCAATACAATTGAGTGTAAAAGTTGTATGAATTTACAAGCATATAATTTAGTACAAGATCGTTATCGTAATCCAAGTAGTGGATCAACTGTTAGTCAAATACCAAGATCAGATTTACCAGATGTTTATTTAAATGTAGGTTACCTATAAACTGTTGATAAACAATACTAATAAGTACTCATTCATAGTTTTCAACTGTTTTTCATACTTATAATTTCTTGTTGTTTGATCTTTGAGAGTATATGGTCCTCTATGTGATGATGAAGATACCGCACCACCAACATCAACAACAACAACAACAAACTCCAATCACCGTCAACGGGAGAAACTTAAAGGAAGTAACCTCCTTCACTTATCTAGGAAGCACTGTTTCAACTACAGGCGGGACAGACGAGGACGTCAAAGTCAGAATCGGAAAAGCAAGACAGGCGTTCATTAGCCTGAAACCAGTGTGGAGATCTTCTGCACTGCACTCAGCATGTGGAACAAGATACGGATTTTCAACACCAACGTCAAGTCAGTGCTCTTGTATGGTTCAGAGACTTGGCGCGTCACGAAAGGCATTTCCAATAAACTACAGACATTCATCAACAACTGCTTACGCTCGCTACTGAAGATCAGATGACCAGAATAGTTAGAATAAGCAACAAGGAACTCTGGGAACGAACCAACCAAGAACCTATCACGCAACAAATATGCAGAAGGAAATGGAGATGGATTGGCCATGCGCTGAGAAGGCCGACTGAGGACATCACGCGTCAGGCCCTCGAGTGGAATCCCCATGGGAAGCGACGAGTTGGACGTCGGTGCCGAGGGTGACATGGAGGAGATCGTGCGAGGAGGAAATGAGAGCTTGTGGGCTGTCGTGGGACCAGGTTCAAAAGATCTCAGAGAACAGAGGTCACTGGAGGCGTGCTACTGAAGCCCTATGTTCCACTAGGAACCCAAGGGACTAATAATAATAATAATAATAATAATAATAATAATAATAATAATAATAATAATAATGTAAATACCTTGATATTACTTGATGATAGAATATGTTATTAATGGCTAACAGATGAATTTAAGACGTTTGTTTCATCCTATTTGGAACTTGTCAATTCAACTCGCCTGCACCCTAGTGAGTGATGTTTTTCATACTACTTCATTGTTTCACCCTTTACGGGTTTAAATTCATGAGAACAGGTGGAATACAGTAGCCAAAATAAGATATGGTATGAAATTATTTTGGAAGTGAAAAACGTTGGTATTTTACGAGAGAATGGAGATCAAATTAAACTAATAGACCAAATGAAATTTTTCTTATCAATTTTGAGGTTTTCTAGGGGTTCATTGATTTCAGATGGTATTCATGAGTACTGATATCAGTTGGAGGAATGTAATAAACCTGATGGCACTCGACAGCTGTTATATCCTAGTATGGATTTCCTAACCAGTGCGCACCTGTGACCCAACATTCCAGGGGTCGAACCTATGGCCTTCGGGTGCTGTGGATAGCACGTTACAATTGACCAACTATGTTGGGATCTAGTGTTCCATATTTCAGAATTCTGTCAGTACAATATAGCGTGACCTACATCCAATGCCATCATTGAGTAACTGTCCTCATTTTTGACTTGGTTGACTTCATTGGTCATGACCCCTTACTGGAACTTTTGTAACCATTTCTGTGTATGCGTGTTTACTAAGGGTCAAATATTCATTATACAGAGGTACAGAAAAAATAATGTGAACACAATGACGAAATAACGAATAACAAATTTGAAGCGTTACGTAACGGTTGAAAATGACTATCAGTATGAAATACTAATCACATAAGAAGGTGAGTGTTGATCAATGAGACAAAAACTTAGATAGAATGGAAGGTTAAAATGTGAGGTTAGCAGAAGAAAAGTCCCTAATAACGAGTGCATCCTATTGTGAGTCATGGTAGACAGAGTGGATGCAATTATTACTTTTAAATGCATATATCAGATTTTCCTGCGTTGATATCTATGGCTTCGGTTATGGATAAGACATGTAGTCGTAGACCTTTGGGGACTCGATGCATCACAGAAAAGGCATGATCTACCTTGATCTGACGTCCGATATCTATTACATGTGAGACGACTGGACTGTTGGTGCACTTTGTCATTCCTCTCCCTAAAGAAGCTGATGTATGTTTACAAGAGCGCATAGATAGAACCGTTTGAGTACGGCCTAAATAACCAGTTCCACAAGAGGAGTTACATTCAGAAATACACACTCATAATGGCATCATTGATAACCTATTCATGGTTCTTTGTATCAGTAACGATTTCGTTGACTTCTCAACGAAACATTTCGCTGCCATGCAAGTCGTTTCAATTGATCTATTCAGTTGGCGTGTTAAGATGTCAGAGGTAATATCACCTTTGAATCTCACTCTAAGATACAAAGGTCCCTTAGTAGTACTGTCCGTTTCTGCCATCTCTCAATGTGTATTCATTTTGAAGTTTAGTAGATAACCATTTTGCTGGAATGTTATCTTCACCTTAACCATTTCTTCTTCAGTACGGCTATCAGAAAAATATTTTTTTACTCTGTAACTCAGGCATCTGACTAGGCTTCTTTTATACTGAATAGGTTTGAAGCTACAAAATGAATATACTGACTAGTCCGTATGCTTTTCCTGTTTCTATTTACCTTCCTGGTGAAGAGTATATCTATGAATGATATACTATTCTCCGATTCTTCTTCATAGCTGGGTGAACATTACTGAGAGTTTGAATAGGGCAAGAAGAACTGCAGTGGCGGAATTAGCATGCCTGAATTCCGACGATTATCCTCAGCTGCTTTACAACCTGAAGAATATAATATTTATGATGAATAATATGTCATATAATATACTTCAATAAATCAACACGATCTTATACGAATCGAGATGGAAGGTAACAAAGATTTAGGTTGACTGACATTGACGAGGTTGTTAAGGTCTTTTTTGTTGAAAGCATTGTTACAAATGATGAATGTATCACCTGTATACCGGTAATAATAGTATAGTTTATCAAGTTTGACCAAGAAGATATCTGCTGGCATAAGACCTAGGGGAGAACCCAACTTAACGCAGTCTACTTGTCAATAGAATTCACGATATCTTACACACTGGACTGGTTGCAAGCACATCATAGCTATGATAGTCAAGCAGAGTAATTCATGTGTTAATATTAGCCCTTTGGTGAATAAAAGCATTAAGTATCAATTTTAAGGAACGTGATCTATATGTGAAATGGAATACTTCGGAGGAGGATAGAACCGATTTTCAGTATTTTTTTGGCATTCATTATGATAACTAACAACTTTATAAAAGCTCCCCCCAGGCCCATCCAGTTCATATGAATAACCAAAGGCAATAAAATTCAACCTATTAGGATCACATTTTTTCCCAATTTTGTTTTTCAATTTGACTGGAGAAGTCATAACAACTGAGGATTAAATTTTTTCCTACTCTTTCATGTAACCAATTTGGTAACATGAAAGCCACACTATCGATTCATTTAGTCTTTGAAAACTATTTACAGTGAAAAACATTCAAAATTGATTCCTTTTACAATTAATTGTAACTGTTTTCAGATATTTACTCTATTTCAATGTAACAGTCGTAACCATTTTGCCTTAAAATGTTATGTGATAACTTTGCGTACTAAAAAAGCTATTCAGTAGTTAAATTGTTTTGTTAAACTTTTCTAACAATTCATTTTGCAGCCACCTTCCATGTCTACATTGCAATCCCAAAGAAGCAGTTTATGTGAAAGGAGTAGGATGGAACTGTTATGTGTTGACAATGGATTAGATGGCGATAATTATTCTGCAGGCAAAATTGGAACAAGTCAACTGATGAGTGCACCAAATTTAGAAGATGATATTGCAAGTATTACTGAGTCTAATGTTCATTGCTCTTCGGAACACAGAAATGTAGGAGGAGATAATTGGAGTCTCCGTGATGAATTAGTCATTGTTCCCCAACCACAAACTTTAACACTGGTGCGGAATCAAGCGTATAATTTGCGAAATGCATATCATCAACCTCAACCTCAATCACCATCCAATTTAGTACCGCCAACATTCAAACTTTTTCAGTTGACCGATGAAAATTTCGGTAATTTACCAGTTAGAGATAAAGAACACCATAGCAGTATACAACAACAACTTAGAAGAGCGTTAAGTCTATCGTCTAGGAGAAAATCTCCTCGTTCTCTGAATGCTGAAATTCAGTCAATCATGGATAAACATTATGAAATGACTGGGATCAGAATGACAATCGGTACTGGATCATCACAAAAGAATGCACCGACTACAAAATCCTATATGAATTTATTCGGTTTGCAGTCAAATAATAAAACACAAGGATCACGAACAAGAGTAAGTCAAAACCGTGAAGTTTATCTACTTTTGATGCTAGGCACTGAACTTTATGACCCATTTTCTTCTGAGATTTGAATTCATCTGGAAATTTTTTAGATTAAAGATTTACAAACAAAAGTTCTACCACTTTCTTGGCAAAACTTACTATTTATAGTTAGCAGTGACTTGTACATCTTACTAGAGATTCCAGAGTTTGATTTGAAGTTATGGCTCATTGGTTTAATGTGTTGACTTTCAATCAGTGGGTTGTGGGTTTAGAAACCGCTCCGCTTACCGAGGTCCGGTCATCCAGCCCAAATATAGTAGGTTTGACTCAGTGACTATTGCATAATTGTGTACAAAGTTGTCGAGTGGAGTTTTGCTTGAAAACACTATATAAAGTTAACATTCACTGTTGTGTTAAAATGATGATCCTCAACTATTGTGAAAACAACTTTTTCAGACTCCATAGTCTTGCTTACTAACCACAATGATAAGGAACACAATATTTGAATGAAAATACCATTCTTAGTAGAAGCAAGGCAAAAGGTTTTTTATACTTGAAGTTTATTTCAGCGTGAAAGTCGAGCACTCTCGGATAAAACTTATTTCTGTTATGATTTGCTTGGTGGTGGCTATCAACGGAATATAGAATGTGCGTCTCGTCTTATTTGGACTTGTTAGCTAGGTATACCCACACCCCAGTAAGTGATGTTTCCACCGACACTTGGACCAACCCCCATTACTTCTAGCACCATAGGGTTATCCACTAGGCCACTGGGGTGCGACGGTTACTTGTTATGGTCTAACGGGTAGAGCTGTGGGGTTTGAAGCGATGGGTATGAGGTTCGAGTCTCAGTAGGACTCACATTACTCACTAGAGGACGGGTAGATCCAGCTGATGAGCCCCAAATACGACGACATACGCGTCCTCGATTCCACTGTCAGCCACTGCCGAGCAAATTACAACATAGCCAACAGTCAGGCATTATCGACGTATCTACATACCAGTGCATATGCCAACAGAGGTGGATAAATTCGACCCGAAATAATATCGGCAGTTTAAAAGTATCAAAAATAATAAGAATTTTTTCTGGCTGAATTTGTGTTAAAAATTGCTGTAGTTAATGAGTATGTATGTAGCTCAAACCTGTCATAGTCACCCATGGTAAAGTAATAATATGAGTCCCTTTTGTGCCATGAATAATACAACAACTTTTCTTACTGTCTAATACCGTGTCTGCAAGGTAGTATTATTCAGGGTAAACTCTTGATCTGCAGCATTCAAGGAACAGTTCATCTGACCTCTAGCTTCTAATGCGTTGCCCGGTATACAGACGGACCCTGAATGGGACACTGAGATAGGTCCTTCGACACTTGCAGAGGTCGGGAAAGCAGTAAGTCACTTGAAACGAGGGAGAGCAACAGGACCAGACGCACTACTTAATGAGGTACATAAGGAAGGTGGTAGAATGATTCCATTCAAATTAAATGAAGTGCTAACTAGTATATGGGAGTCAAATATGATCCCCTCTGATTGGTTTCAACCTCTGATCATCCAAGTCTTCGAGAAAGGCTGAAAGTCCTCTCATGATAACCCCAGTGGAGTCAGCCTGATGAACTTAGTATCTAAGATCCTAGGTTCTACAATCATCAGAGAGTAGTCACGTCACCACCTTGAAGGCTCTCTACTTGAACACCTGTGAAAGTGTTACAGCCTATGGTGAGATGTCTGGTGAGGTGTGTACGTCGAGCCCTTTTCATTGAAGGTGCCAACTCTCTACATTCTTATTCAATTTTACCATAGACTTTGTTATATATTTCTCCATCTCTTTATCTGAAGACTCAGGGATTGACTTAATCATAGGATAATTTCTGATGAACCTAGAATGTGTAGATGACACAATCCTATTAGATGAAAGCACCAAAAAGAGGCAGAGTCTTCTAGATACTTTGAGTGGCAATTTGAGAATGTTTTGGATGCTTTTCTCATCACCCGATTGTAAACTATTGCTCAAGGATTGCTTTTACAAACCGACACCATCTGTGGCACCATCCGTGGATCGAGTGTACTCTACATCAGTCCGCTCTGTTCTACTGTATGGCTGTGAAACATGGCCATTGAAGGTGGAAGATATGAAAAAAATTCAGATATTTGACCACCTTTGCATTCGTAGCATAGGCATGTTTCATGGTGTTGCTATGTAAGTAACACAGAAGTCAGGTGTAGAGCTTTAGGGGGAAGATGTAAGTAAGGTAATGGGGTTGTGAACCTTCATCACCTGAGATGGCTTGAACGTGTGTTGCGTAACCTGACCACCATCTCTCTCATCTCACAATCTTGGCCGAAGTAGGTCCAGGCTGGAAAGAGGTTCTGGGTGACCAGACTAAAACATGGCATCATTGCTTGTAGTGCTTGACTGTTCGTTTGAGCCATGTAGATCAATGCAGATCATATGGTTAGGGTCCGTAGGATAAGAGAAACCAGTGGTTGAAGACTGAGCTGAGGTGATATGACTCACAAGCGATGCCAGTGACGCAGATGCATAGACACATTATCCTCATCTTAACCTCCATACTTAATCTCACCATCTTTTCTTTCTTCTGTCCTCTCTTTCACTACTTTTTTACCTCCTTTAACCTATTTCTCTTTCCTTCTTAACCTTCCAATTTAATGTCTTGCTACTTGTTATACTGATATGAGGTGTGGCAACTTGGACCGTTATGCAGTAATGCCTGGTCCTATATTGATTTTGTTGGTAATGATGATGCAGCATTCTGGAGTATTTGTTTAAGTCAGAGGTTGTATGTTTTGACCAAATAGTGATGACTTATAGCTCTAGACATGAGCATTTAAGGGCAGTTTTAAACGGAGATAAAACTTTTGAAAAGAAATGCCTTATAGAAACGTTAAATTGATATTGTGTGTATTAACTTAAAAATAGGATACTTGCAAAGGAATTTCTTCTTGACCCATCTCTACGTGACAGAATGACTTACCATATTCACAGAGATTGAAAGATGGTTAGGTTTTTGAAATCAACCAGTCCTGATGATGATTTTCAGAGACAACATTCCTTCCAAGTGAATTATCAGGACTATACCTACACACAATTTCGTAGCCATGTACCTATTCAATAAAAAAATAAAGCTAGTTAAATATTTTAGGAGTAAATAGGACGAGAAAAATATATTCCGACGACTTAATGCATAAGAAGGTAGAATACATCGGTAACTTACCGGTTGAACTGGACTATCTTAACAGCTTTATAAGAAGACAATTCGAAAAAAAGAGAGGAAGTTAATCTGAACTTACTAGCGTTCAAAGAAATAGCTGTTCACAAAACTGTTATTCAATGGAGATGCAGCAAAAGAAGTTTTATGTAAGAAGCTATATAAGTAGCTATTCAAGGGACTTTCCAAAGTTCCAAAGCACTCAGATTGGATTATTGCGTTGAATGATACAACCTGTTTCACTTTTATCGTAAGAATATCAGACAACGCAAGCTATTTGTGATGTATGTTCATGCGTAGTAATCTATATTACCTGATAGGTCATGGTATTCACAATCATTCGTATCGAAGAAACCAAGTGAAAAGGGAATGAATTTATTTGAATTATGTAACTGATAATGAAATTCCCAATAGCAAGCTCAGTGGTGCTTTTCAAGTGAAGACAAGAGTAAAACAAGGCTGTCTACTATCACCCATGATATTTCTGATTGTAGTGGACTGAATCATGCAACAAACAGTGAGGAGCGAGAAGAAGGGGATACACTGGCTGGACCACGGAAAACAACCTACAAGATTTCGATTTCACCAACCATTTAGGTCTAGTGTCTTGTCGCACAAACTCGAAGATCTACAGGCGAATACTAACAAGTTGACAGAAGAGATGAGGCAGTGAAGATGGGACTCCTTCCAAGTGAACGTAGAGAAGACGGAGGTGATGAAGATATCAAACCAACACCACCACCAACAACAACAACAGGCTCCAATCACCATCAATGAGAGAAGCTTAGGAGAAGTAGTCTCTTCCACCTACCTACCTACCTACCTAGGCAAGACAGCATCGTTTCAACCACAGGCAGTGGCGGTGGCACAGACGAGGACGTCAAAGCCAGCCAGGATGTGAAAGACAGCAAGACAAGCCTTCATTCAGCAACCTGAAACCAGTGTGGAGATCTACTGCACTCCACTGCGATGCATTCAACATAAAGCGTGAACAACATCCGGATTTTCAACACCAACGTCAGTCAAGTCAGTGCTTCCATGTGATGCTTCAGAGACTTGGTACCTTACAAAAGGCATTTCCAACAAACTACAGACATTCATCAACAGCTACTGTCTACACTGACTCGATTCTGAAGATCAGGTGACCAGAATAGTTAGAATAAACAACAAGGAACTCTGACTGGCTGGCAACCAACCAACGAAGCGAGAACCTATCACTCAACAAATATGCATTGGAAGGAAGTGTAGATTGATTTGAGTGGGCATGCACTGAGAAGACCATTTGGGGACATCATGTGCCAGGCGAAGCCCTCGAGTGTGAGCCAGATGGGAAGTGACGAGTTGTGTGTCCGAGGGGAGGGTGGCATGGAGGAGATGGTGAGAGGAAGAAATGAGAGGTTGTGGGTAGTGGTGGTGACAGGTTGAAAAGTTTGCAGAGAAGAGAGTGGAGTGGAGACGTGCTACTGAAGCCGTATGTTCCACTAGGAACCCAAAGGACAAATAATAATAACTGATAATAGTCCAGTGCCTAGATCACCATATCATAATATCATAGTTAGAAATTAAATTGACACTGGCAGATTCAGTGAGATGAAAGTAAACGGTATCACAATCAACAAACCAATTCACATATTAAATTTTTGTGTGGAGTTTAAATTATGAAACGTTGACTAAAACCTTTTAAATTACAACCAATATGTTTCAATTACTAAACCATAACGCTCAATAAATAATTGGGTTTGCATTTTAGTTCATTTACTGGTTTCAGGAGAATGAGATAACAAGTCGGTATTCACTATGGACTAAAATCAGTTGGAGAACCACTGAAAACTTGGGATCAGTAGAAAGCTGTTTCGTTTCAGCACACGAATCCTCAGCAAGGTGCACACATGACCTCACTATATACCATGTCCAGGACATTTAGTATTCCTGGTGAGGACGGTACTATTCACCCACTAAATGACGACCACTGCAACCCTCGAAAGTGAGTTACTTTCCGGTTCTGAATAGTGACTTACTTCGAGATGAAATTACCGGATGTTCTAGTGAGATGCTGTGACCTATATAATCAGCCAATTCAGGTGTGAAGATAAATACCCATTGACGGCATTGGATAGAGGTCGCGCTGTATCATGAACTCATGGAAGTAGGAAATATGGACTACTGGAATTTAACCCAGTGGATCAGTGTTAACTTGCTGGCCGTGGAACCTGAAGGTCCTGGGTTGGACCCCTCGTGGGATCATAGGTGTGCGTTGCTGAGGCGTAGCGTACTTAAACGAAACAGCTGTATGGTGCTCCGAAGCTTTGAATAGTTCGTGGTGCATATCAACTTGAAATCAGCGTATTTCTAGAAACAAGAATGAGATCATTACTATTTATTGATATACTTGTAATTCTCCGTTGTTTTTTATTGGATGGAATTGTTCAACCTCTATCAGCATATGGGCTGTTATGTGGATGTCTCGACATCACCTGAATATTATGGTAATTTGGTTAATTGCGGCTAGCAGAGGAACCCGGGATGTGCATTTCGTCCTATTTGAGATTCGTCAGTTGTATGTGCCTGATACAGCCAACCAAATTATCATAATTAACATTTAGGTAATGTCGAGGCATCCGCATATGAGCCCATATGCTAATAGAGGTTGAACAATTCGATCCAATAAAATAACGGCGAATTACAACTATATCAATAATTAGTAAAACCTACTACTTGTTGTAAAAGAAGTGGCTATCGTTCCTCCATGGCATAGTGGATAACGTCTTGGTGTTTGAAGGGGTAGGTACGAGGTGTCAGTCTCAGTGGGAACAATATCACTCACTAGGGTGCAAGTACATCGAGCTGATGAGTCCGAAATTGGGCAAAACACGCGTCCTGGATCCCCCTACTAACCACAAGCAACCAAATTACCGAGAATGAGATTAACTGGATTTCAGGCTCATTAACCTTTATCACCATCTCTTCACACTAAAACTATCATATTCAGTTTAGTCAATATTCTATTTGTCAAAAATATTTCTTCTATTCATTTTTCTAGTTTTTTTTTCTTATTCATAGAAACGTCGGTGCAGTTGGACATTCACCAAAGATATTACAAATGAATTTCAATCTGGTTTAAAAAATGTATCTAGTGCTTTACATCTAGATTGTACAAATTTTGATCTAATACAAAAATTGAAGCATATCAGAGAGAAGCCATCTGTACTAGAATCTTTATCTATGACAGCTTTACCATGTCTAGTACCATTAAGACCACGTATTCGATCGGATGCAACAAATGATATGACTGTAATTGATGAAGAATTCATAGAAAGACGTTACAGTCGAAAAATTCATTCAGATTTGAATACTACAAAATTGACTGATTTCAAGCGGAACAGTATGATAGCCATTGATAAGAGTCTATCAATCCTTGGTATTCAATCCAATGTTAGACTTGTTAAGAGTAATTGGAATTTAACAAACATTTAACTTTTCCTGTTCATTGACAAATATCATATTCATTTTACTACTCATATATACACAGCATAATATGTAGATAGTTTGAATAAAATACTTTACTAAAAGCAATAATAATATTGTACAGGATTAATCTTTCATTAAAGACAATTATTTTCTTGAATATCATTTCCTATTGATTGAGTGTACATAATTTCAATCGTTAATGAGTTGTTCTAAGTTACTTTCATTGAACATTGAAATATGCGCTACAATTAGTAACACATATCTTGTCTGTTTGATTTCATGCATAAATAAACTTTAAATAACGTATAAAAAAATACAAAACCCTTTTCAACAATCTCTTGTTTTAATGATAACAAATGTAAAGGAGTGATGAAGTGAATTTTATGCATTTTTATTCATGATGTCCTATGTTCAATTGTTAAAAGAAGAAAGAAGTAAAATTTGTGTTGCACATTTAAAACAGACCAGCGTATAATTTGGTAGATTTCATTTGATTTTTATGCAGGTTCTGATAGGTAAAACCGAAAACCTTGAACAATCATTTCTAAGAATATAAGAATTCAGCTTACTGAGCAACCTAGAAAGAGAAAGTTATTATGTTATTTACTATTGAAAACGATCTATTAGGAGCGGTCAAAGGAGGATGAACAGTTAGAGTCCTCATCAGCTGACCAACACATGTTTGACTATAAGCTTTTGATTTGTGCAATAACGTATTCGTTAAAACCCCATCATTCAATTTGGTATTACCTTGGACAGTTATTTCTTAAGGCAGCATTCATCCTGGACTGACACCAGTTAGATAACTACTGAAAGCCTGGGAGCACTAGACAGCTCTATTGTCCTAATATGGGACTACTTAACAGTACGCAGTCATGACTCGGCTAGGGATCGAACTCAGGACCTTCAGGTTTCACGGCAAAATTCCTTGACCACCCATCCACTGGGTTAGGGTTCAGTGGTTCATCGTTTCCAAAGTCTGCCAATTCTCGATGTAGCGCGAATTATTTAGTCATCTTACCGTATTTTCAGAATGTAAAAACTACGTATGGATGCTATCTTTTTCCTTAGAAGAAATTTTCTCGTGTGACTTTTGGTTAGTTTTCATCCTTTGACCCTTCCATTGTTCAGTGAAGTAAACGATGCTTCCAAGGATGATCGCTATCCGTTAGGACATCAAACAGTTTAGTTCAGTCATGTATTATTGATGGTTAGTGACTAATAGTGGAGTCCTGGGGGCACGTTTTTTCCACCTGGGACTCTTCAGCTGGGTGTACCTTCCTGCTAGGAGTGATGTTTTTCCCACTTGGACTCAAACGTAGGACCGGTTGCTTTAAACGCAAGAGCACTATCTACTAGACCACCGAGTCACTATGGTCACTTCCTGTAAGATGAGTGAAGATCTGATGCTGTTACTTTGATAGTTTAGTTCAGTCAGCTTCCTTGTTTATAACTTATTAACCCTTGTTAACTTTAAGGATAATACCAACAACCGAAGGGGCTGAAAAATGGCTCAAGAAGGGGAAGAAGAAGTTTTGAATATCAGAGTAGCAAACACGTGTTTTAAAACAAATAAAAAAAGCTTAAAGTAGACCTTTTCAACGTAGTGAATAATCTATAGGTATACTGTTGGTGACTATTGATTGCAATTAGGAGGTCTTTGAGGGATTTCACTGATTCCAAAGTGGTTTTCATCACTAAGTCATACCAGTTGGAAACATACTGAAAACTTGGGGTCATAAGACAGACGTTTTGTCGTAGTAGAGCACTTTTCAGCGGCGTGCATCTATGGCCACATCGAGACTGAACACGGGACCCAAGAAGGAAGGAAAAATGAAGTTACAGTCAGTATATTTCAAGAAGTAATGGTGATGAAGTTGTGAGATTATTAATATTTCTTTCCTTTAAAAAAAATTATCGTGTCTTTGGGATAAAGAATTCCATGACTTAAGGTAACATACAAACTCGATGAAGGGAAAAGACGGTTTGTTCCCTAAAATGCTTTCGAAAAGCCTTTCTACGAATACAGGAGGCAAGAAGTTCACAAAAAGATCATTGCTGATTTCGTATGTACTATTTTCTTCAAACTACGAGTCAAATGATATTTCAAACTTTACTGAAAGCATCAGCGAATGTTAACCTAACACGAACATGCTTCATCTTGCACAGCCACATCATACGTTGCTTATCTGTCCTCTGCTTTCAATCAGTATCACGAGCTGGTTTGCAGCGACCATAATGGAAACTGCTAAAATAATTGTCATAATGCATGTTCACACGACAAAAACCAGCTATCCAAGGTAAATTCACTCAATGATTAATTATCTTTAAAACACCACAACTCATTATACCACATCGCGTAACTATACATATGGTGTCACTTCTTTGTCCAGTGTTTTATACGTTGTATTCAGTTCCTCTTTTCCTTCTTCATCCCTGCACTGAACTGCTCTACACTACAATACAATACACTACACTAGTTCATCTTCTCCTTCAGTATCTTCCTCTCCCTCCTCTATCAGCTTTCATGTGTCCGTCGACATCCACTCTTCATCCCCATTGCTTCTTCTTCTTCCTTCCTAACACGCTTATCCAGGTTTCCTTCCACGTCTCTTCCAAACAGTTCCAGTGTTCTTCCACACAGGTCTCCTCAAATATCTTACTTAATGTCTCCCATTTTTTCCTGATGAATGACTGACGTGAGGATGTCCTTTGAAGTTTCGTCCTCCAGTTCACTTTCTGTTCTGGGTGTTCAACTTCAACTCTGGTCTGTCATCACCAGCATCTGTGAAGGCTTTCAACTTGATTTTGGTGGTAGGTTCCTTGCACTAGATAGTGAGTGGTGAGACGCAACATCTGCTCCAGTTCTCGATCTGTTCTTGTGTCCAGTATGCTGCGTCCTCACTCTCTTCAGATTGAGATTAAGTCGATCTGATTTTTAGTGTGTCCATGTGGTGTCTGGTGAAATTTATGTAGGGATAAAAGAGATCTTACACGTCCCAAAAGCAAGGTTTAACTGTATAGGGCAAGAAATGTTTTCGATAAAGCACTGCCCACTTGACCTGTTACAGCCAAGTTAATATCACAATAGTGCCAATGGTGTCTCATTAGTTGCACCACCATCACCAACTGCACAGCAATCCTAACATAAAAACGTCTTGATTACCTTCAACAGATCACTTACGGGAGTAAATAAGGATATAGGTCAATGTTAATCTTGTGAAAGTACTTCATATTTCAAGAGTGCATGCGGAACTTTTGAAGAAACATTCAATGACTCCTCTATAAACATCAAGAAAGAAGTTACCTTCAAGACAGTTAACATAGGGAGCATATAATATATCTATCCCGTTTCAATCAATTTGTTAGCTTCAGTTTGCAGACTTGTGGGGATACTATTGGTTTCAAGTTAACGTTCATCACAGAATGACATCGCTTACATACTAATCAAAGCCTTCAAACTGAAATTGTTCTCCAGTTTACCTCAGTAACTTACTTCAAGATGAAGGTCCCGGAATTCTAAAAGACGTCTTGACTGGTTGGGTGAACCAAGTCGAAAATGATGACAGACATTCAATGACGGCATTGGAAGAAGGTCATCAGGCAGTTCGGTGCTGATTCAGTAGCTCAGTGGCAACATGCTGGCCGCGGAGCCTGAAGGTCCAGCTTTCGGACACTGGTGTGGTTGTGGGTACGCACTACTGATTAGTCCTCAAGCTGGGATGAAGTAGCTGTTTAGGTTTTCAGTGGTTATCGAACTGATGTCAATCCTTGATGGATGCCAACATGCACTGACAAAAATGAATCTAAGCTTAAGTAGAACTATTACTGCACTATAGAATAGCATCACAGAAGATTCTTCTTTACTGACCTTAACAGTGCACCGGAAACGCATGAGTTGAAAGTCCCGAGGATCTATTCAGCTGTCTTTCTGCAGTTCTCAGGGACCGATTTCCAAATGTTTACGAAGCATCCAAATGAACCCACCAAAATCTTGAAAATCCAAAAAGTGATAAAAATAAGAACCGGTAATAAGTGTGAAACCATATATCTTATCCACAAAAGTCATACAGACACAGGTGTTTGAATGAGTAATAGGTAATTTCTTCAGAAAACGCATGAGTAACTTAGACGTTAAGTTTATCTCAGCTGTCGACTTAATGGAGTCGAAATTACTTCGCCTTCTGTGATTTATCAACTTAAAGGAAAATATTTAAGTTTATGAGGAGAAAATTTACCATTCTAACTGCATAGCAACATCTAAAAGGTTCCGTTCTAGTTTATTCATTCGATGCATCACATAGTGAAACACTATCACTAAGTGGATAACGTTTCGCGAACAATTTATTGTCCATAATGTAGTGGGTGTTGCTGATAAGAATGGATATAAGTAGTATATGTTGAGACGGTGGCAGAAATCACAGGGAATTACCAGTAGTGGGTGAGAATTCTGGCCAGAGAAACGCAAGAGACAAAGTGGGTGCATTAAGACCAAATTAGAGGTGGAGCAAAAGAGGAAATGAAGCACATTTTGCAAATGGCTGTCTTAGTGAAAGGTATACCATATTTAACGACTAGTGTACTACATAATAATTATAAGCATTCCTTCCTTCATTTCTGTCCTCTCATTTTCTTTACATAATCGTTGCATTCTGCCTTAATGTCCAGGTTTTACTCTTGCATCAAGTTGTGCTACACAGACCAACAGAAGAAGTTCAGATACTGACTGGAAAATACTAATTCTCAAACTGAAACATTAAGCTTATCGAAAAAATGTAGACATAAAACGGAGAAACAACTTAGCTTTATTTTTAGGCCAGTAGCAGAATATCTTGAAAGTGAAGCGTTGCTCATCTGACGATTCATTAAATATCGAAATGCAGGAACACATAACTGTAACTAGTACAAATGCTCAAATGGCTTCATGCAATCAAACACTCGTCAAAATTTCCACAACTTGTAGGTAAAAGAAACCAATTCTTGGGCGACGACAATCTAAAGGAAGCGCGAGATGTATATGCTACCTAATGTCTTCTCAGATATTAAGAATCACTCCAAAGACGCTATAATTGACTGCACGAAGAACGCTTCATCGAATCCTTCCTGTGCGCTTTTCCATAGTCAATCCGCAATCAAATAGTTCAGTAAACACATTTGAACTCTACGGTACATATAACGAGAAACTTGTCGATAAAATCAAAATCGTATTTCGAAAGGGTTGTGTAGATTTAAAAATATTTTCATGCAACAAACAGTGAGGAGCGAGAAGAGGGGGATATACTGGCTGGACCACGGAAAACAACCTACAAGATTTCGATTTCACCAACCATTT